TGCACCTGTCAAAAACTACCAAGTGTTGTAATGTTATCCTGCCCATCCTTACCTTGTTTCCTTATTTTTTAGTGCTCCCTTTCCTAATTTTTTTATTTGAAATGTTTTTACACTTGTTATTATTTAGTTTGAGAATGATATAAACTGTCAAATGCATCTTAATGAATATTTGAAGAATTTTGGAACTATATGGTATGATTCAGTTTCTGACAGAGTGAATTGTGATTTTTAATTGATCTATGGTTATTTTTTTAACAATTTAATTTCAAAATTATTGGAAATACTCCATTTATTGGTATAGCCTAGTGGTTAGGACACTCGACTCACAATCTGCAGGTCACAGGTGCGAATCCTAATCCCCAATTAAGCTTGTCCTTTTAGTTGTGGGGTCATTATAATGTGACAGTCAACCCCACTGTTTGTTGATAAGAGAGCAGTTCAAAAGATGGTGATGGATGGTGTTTACTAGTCTATCACTAAATTATGGACGGCTAGTGCAGATAGCTCTCGAGTAGTTTTGTGTGAAATTCCAAACAAATCGAACTATGTGAAATTCTAACAAACCGAACTACTTCACTTCTTAGAAATATAATAATTGCATTCTTCAAATTGTAATATTGTTAAATAGAAAATATGATCATACATATGTATATGAAATCATTTTAAATCTAAATATTCTGTATCAGAAATTAATATAAAAAAAATTGTGAAAACAAACAAGTTCAAATAACATATTATTACATATTCCAGTTTCAATTCTACAAATTTAATAGTAAATTGATAGATGCTTTTCTCAAACTCAACAAAAATGTATTGCAGCATATTCATACATTTTTCTGTTTAAACTTTTACAGACATATTTTACATTGAAGTAAAATACCTGTATCATAAAGACTTACTTTCAGAAGAGTGGCTATAAAAAGTAAATTTAGCAAATCCAAGATATTTAGGTACTGGACAGTTAGAGTTTGGATCTTTATTACTTGGGTTGATACAAAAGATTATGAACCTACAAAAAATACATCTTACATGTTAAGAGGTGCTAAGAATAGGACAGTAATTAACAAAAGTGAATTAACTAATATATCTTGACTTGTATATCAAGACTAAAAGTAAAATATGAAAAATAAAGAAAAAACACCTGCTCTCCCACAATATCCCACCAAAGATAATAGAAAAATGTTGTATAAGTTCTTATGCATTAATCATTGTTTAGATTTCAGCTGTTAATGAATTCATAATTATGGGTGATTTTAATTTCAGGCATATAGACTGGGAAATGCTAGAGTAAAACCATGACAGAGAAATGTTTATGGAAACTATTCAAGATGGCTTTCTTCACCAATTAGTCAAGGAACCTTATAGAAACAATGCTATTTTAGATTTATTGTTAACTTCAAATGTAGAAATGATTGAGAAGGTGGAAATTGGGGAACATGTGGGTGCAAGTGATTATTTGTCTATTAGGTTCAATGTTTTGCTGCATATGGAGATAAGGAATAATGATATTTTGGTTACAAATTTCAGACAAGCAACTTTTGAAGGAATGTGACAAGAATTATCCATTGTGAATTGGGCAGCTGAGTTACTCAGATGTGGAAAATTTTTAAAGATCAATTTTTAAGTACTCAAGGTAAACGTATTGCTTATAGAAAAAAAAGTGTAGCTGCAAGTAAAAAACCAGGTTGGCTTGCAAAGAGTTTAAGAGAGAAAATTAAAGAAAAGCATAATAAATTTAAGAAATTTAAACTGACTGGTATGACTGGAGACTTAGAAGATTATAGAAGATCAAGAAAGTTGGTGAAACAGGAAATTAGGACATTAAAAAGGATGTAAGAGAAAAGGTTGGCTGAAAATGTAAAATTAATGGCAACGATTTCTTTACACACATTAAGGGTAAACAAAATGTTAGGATGGGGGTAGGACCCTTGAGGGATGATAAAAGAAGGCTAGTATCTGATAATTATGAGATGGCAGGATTATTAAATTTAGCTTCTTCTTTGGTTTTTACTAATGAAGATTTAAGCAGTATTTCACATCTTGAACAGTTGATAAATGGAAAGGAGATCAAACAAGATGACTGTATTATTCTGAGCTGGTTAAGAAAAAATTAGGAAGTTTAAAAAACAATAAGGCTTCCTGGGCCAGATAATATTTCCCCAAGGGTTTTGAAGGAGGTTGAAGATTGGATATGTGAGCCACATACTAATATTTTTTGTCAATCCTTGAATGGTGGGCAGGTACCAGAAGATTGGAAGTTAGCTAATGTAACTCCTATTTTCAAGGGAGGTGATAAAAATTGTCCCAGTAATTATAGACCCATTATTCTTACACCAGTTGTGG